TATGAAACATCATAAAACATTCATTTGTTCCAACACTCCATGAAGCGGAACTTCATTAAAATGTCTGCAGGGAAGTGCCTATTCAAACGAATAACGCTTGATTCTGATATTTCTATCAATCTTTCTCACAAGAAATAGAGAGACATTTTTTCACAAATTATGTATTTTTTTCAGCTCAACATTTTTTTAATTAATTGATTTTATTTATAGCATCATACTTGCTTTTGTTGACATTGTTATATGGTGAAATAGTAATATACATCAAGGCGCATTTTACTAACCAAGTTAGCATCATCAGAAGATGAAACTAAATTTCACAACTGAAATGGGTCTTTTGAGGTACAACATAACCTTTGCTGTTGGTGATAGTGGTGGGTCATCAAATGAGGGTCATCGAATAAATTGCTAGTATTAGTTATTGTGATGATTCATCCCAATCTCTATGTTTATAACAACTTGTTATGATACTTTATATTAATTTCAAAGGCTTTCAAAATTCTATTGTCATGTAGAAATTGAAAAACATTCAGTTGTGAGGACAACAGGTTCTTTTACGCATCCGAAAGTTTGGTAATGAAAACATATGGAAAGTAATCTATGAACAGCGATGAGTTTGAGTGGAAGAATAGTTTATTGTCCTTAGATGGAAATGAATTGAACTTCATCTTCTATTTTCCTGAAATGATAATTTTATTGAACGAAACTGTTATTAACTTACCATAGGAGATAATGAAGACGAATTATTTTTATTTATTAAGTTCACATTTCTCAAAGCCCGTTGTTTACACTCGTACGTTATAATGACAGGTAGAAATCCGTTGAAAAACTAGGTATCACTGCAAGGAGCCTACATTTAACTTGTGTAAAATAAAAAAAAGTATGAATAACTATCAAATTAGTCATCCTCATATGAATTCCAAACGTAACTTCGTTCAATTGAACTGAAGTTCCAAACTCTAACGGCCGGAAGTGAAATTGGAACTTTGGTTATGCGGGATGGAAAGCCGTGGTCCAATGGAGAGATAAACTCCGGAGTTTCTCCCATAATTATAACGGGCATCTTCAGCAGGGGTTTGCAGTGTTGCGACCTCATCGTTGGTAGATTCGTTAATGATGATACCCATCGTAGTTCCATTGGACAACGGCTTCCCAACCCGGTTAACTAAATTTCAATTTCCATTCATTTTGTAGAAAATAATCTCAAATATTTAAATCTGACTCTAAAATTATTATTAATCAAAAAAAACAACAAGATATTCAAGCAATCTGAAAGTAATGAAAATGAAAACAAATAAGTATTGGGCAAAATTTGATTCATTTTAAATGCCTCAACTTTTACAAGGGCTACCGAATGCTTGATGTTGATTAATCATGATAATCATTTTATTAGACTCTCAAAGTATATTCAGTCATCTTTTTTAGTATCAATTTTAATTGTCTTTTTGTTTTGTTGCTCGGTTCGTATTGAATTATGTTATAGTTTTCCATTATTTTTCCCACTATAAACATGTATATTCCTTGGGAAAAATAAATCCTTATTATGATTGAAGCAAGTGGATACAAAGATGATGATATAATTACAAACTAACTTAATAACTATTCCTAGGAATTCATTTAACAAATCATATTTGATGAGGTACCGAAGATAATGATGCATATAAGAGGCCTAATATAGTTGTGAATTTCAGTTCCATCACTTTGTGATTTTTACGTCAGGAGTTCAAATTCTACCTGATAAACCCTTTCAACGTGCACTGAATATCAATCGTCCTACATAGGATCGAACCAACGTCGAAACTTGTGCAAGATAAAAATTAACGAGGTGTTATCAGTTGAAGAGTCATTTCTATTATGGGTTGGTTAGATGATGAGCCTTAGCAATCTAAAATCCCACAATTAAATAGAACTGGCCAATACTTGATGAAACTCCATATTAAAACTGATTAATGCAGTTTATTGTATGATTTTTACTAGAAAGGGTTTTTCAAAAACCACAACCCGTGCTTCACTTTACAGGCCGTTTCTTTTATCATGTGGTAACATTACTATATTCTAAACCGTAGCAGATACGAAGACGATTGAATGGGAAAAAAGTAACTGTCATCGGGAACAATACAATGGTCGAAAAAAATGTCTGCGCTGTTTTTCGTTTTTTTCAAATTGAATTGTTATTCAGGAGAATATCAAAAAATGAAAAAAAAAATTGGTATTCGAAGTGTACTATGACGGTGTGATAATAAATATTCGATAAAATGTTTCGTATCACCATGGCCAGCATCAACTTTTTTTTAATAAGACCTGTCTTTTTTATTATATATATTGATGAAGCCACAAACTCACAATCCAAGGTTATATCATATTTGATATTTATATAGCGTTTCATTTGAAATAACCATCATCATCAGTGACAGCAATCAAACAGAAAAACATTTTTTTATCACGAACTTTTGGGAAAAATTAAACAAATACAGAAAATCAAAGCTACATGGAAATATACAATAAATGCTCGGATTGACGACTTTTTTGTTGAATGCACATTCATAAGTTGTCGGTCCAGACAATTTCTGTGGCAATATTCTAGCATAATAGGTGTAATAATAATACATGCATCTCTTATTTTTTTGTTCGAGTTGGTTGATATCTGTACTTAGTGTTGAAAACATTTTATCCTTTATGTATCCCCAGACAAAAAATCTGAAGGAGTACGATCTGGGGATCGAGCTGGCGAGTAAATTGGTCCATTGTTTCCAATCCGTTTTCTTGGGAATATTCTATCTAAATGTTCCCTTACTATTTATTGTTGCATTATGGGGAGGAGCACCGTCCTATTGAAAATATTGTATTTCATGGCGGATATTCATGGCAATTCATCTAAGTAACCATCGAATTCATTGAATAGAAAATGAAGATACATTTCACTATTCAAATGACCATCGTAAAAGAAAGGGCCAAGGATGTTTGTTCCCACAATTCTCAACCAAACATTTATTCCGAACCTTTCTTGGAAATTGGTTTTCCTATGTAAATGTTCATTTGTATTATTTCACCTGTAATAGATATTTCTGTTGAACCAATCAATGTTGATGCATTTTTATTCGTCTGTCCATATTGTTTTTCTTACAAATATTTTCAACTTCCCTATTTCTACGTCTTAACCACTTCGCAAATCATACTCTCCTCCCGTAATCCCTTTCATTGAGGTGATGCACTTTGCGTATCCTGTAGCGTAGCATTTATAATTGTTCTTTTTCAAAATAGTTCTGGTGAATTTCACAGGAATCCCCATTTCGTGGGCAATTTCTCGTGAAGAACAATCTTGAGTAGAATAATTTTTGTAACTGGACATTCCTAAATAAAAAAAAATGTTTTCACTGTGTAAATTTTTGTGTGGTAATATTTGCTAACCCATAACATTTATTCGATTCCTCACAATTCCAGTAACCAAACATTTTCTTGTTTTCATTCTGTCAAATGCACCACAGTCCCTCAAATTTCTTTCTAATCGTCTAATCGTTTAATTTGGATGTTCGGAATACGACGATTCGGGTATAGCTCAACATACATATTCCTTGCCAGAAGAGGATTATATTTGATTTTGCATAACTAAATAGCATATCAGTCCTTTCATCATTTGAATACTTCTTTGATGTGTTCATGAACGTCTGACAGTTCTCAACAGATATCAACAACGCATTCATTTTTCCTGCCATTTTTCCTGCCAACCAAGCAATGCCTATGCGTTTAAGATGGTAAATGAATGGAGATGCTATTTGATCATACCAAATTATATAAAGATCGAATTTGGACCAAAAACTGATATTTTCATTACTTTCAGGATTGAGCATTATAAAAATATTACAAATAATAATTGATTAGGGAGAAATAAGCCTTGAAAGAAGGATTACGGCAATACAAAAATTTCCAAATCGAAAAAGTAAGAATTTTCATTGTGTTAGGGAAGCTACCTGTTGGATTTATTGAGTTTTCTGAATTATAGAAGTAACGACAGGACCGTAATTTAAAATTGTTTTCACTGATGATGGTAGTTACTTCAAATGAAACGCTATAAAAATATCAAATGTGATATACCCTTGGGTTGTGAATTCATTGCTTTATCAATATCTGTAATAAAAAAGATAGGTCCGTATTTAAAAAAAAAGTTGATGATGGCCATGTTGACACGAAACGTTTTATCGAATATTGATTATTACATCGTCATAGTACACTTCGGATACGATAACATTATTTTTTCTTTTTTATTATATTCTCCGAAATAACAATTCCATTCGAAAAAAAACGAAAAACAACATTTTTGGTTTTTCCCGTATAACTCGAGAAGGGCGAGATAACTCGTAAATTTTTTTTTGGTCATTGTATTGTTTCTGATGACAGTTACCTTTTTTCTCATTTAATCGTCTTCGTAACTGTTACGGAACAGCAATGTTACCACATTGTGGTAACGTGTGTTAGGAATCACACGTTAAAAGGTGAGACCTCGTTAGTTCTTATCGCGCACAAGTTTCTGAACTTCTGAGAGTTGTCGTTCGTATAGGAGCGACAGCTGATTAACGGAAAAGATTTCACGAGCGGAAAATAATCCGCTTGAGAAAGCTATTATAGCGAAACACATGACACGGTTTTTCTAAAACCCTTTATAGTGAAAATCATACACGACACCACAAATCCATTTCATACATTATGAAATGTTCATTTCGTTGCAGGAATATCTTTCAATATTCCCAAGTTTGAAATCACCTTCGTTTATGTACTGTATACTTGAGAATTTTCTCTTGAAATGCCACTGCTATTTATATTCATCCATTTTTATATCATTTGTCTCACGCAAAAGATAAAAAAATCAAGAGAAAATCCTAAGAGGTTCAAATTTATATCAGTAGTGTTACTTTGACAAAGTTATGAATTTGAGAATACATATACATACAACATTATTTAAAAAAATATTTACCGTGACAGTGAATTACATAAATAAGTGAACTCACCTCCGTCAAAACCTTTTTTACAGGATACCAACACTGAGTGATGGCTGATGTTCCCAACAGCGCATCCGTGTGGCGGATCTGGTTTCCCAGCAGGTACAATGTGATAGGTACATGGTATCATTTGAAATCCGATGGCGTTTCGTCCCCAACACTGTAAACGAAAAGTTATGAAACTTATTGATCCTGTTGACTTTTTTGGAAAATCAGGTTGTGTTTTTTTTATTATTATTTTAAATTCTAACTGAAGATTCCAATCATCAGTCAAAATACAAGTTACTGTCTAATTGGACTCTTCAGCGGTTCATATCACTCAGTAACTTTTTGGAGCGAAATTTTTAGTTTGCCCTTCAGTATACTTAAGCAGATTCTCTATTGATTCAGTTTTTATACAAGTTTTTGTTTGATAATATACAGAGTATATGCTAAGGACTTTTTCTGGAAGAAGCATTTTCCTGATTTTCCCTCTCTAATCAGTAATTTTAGAGTGTGGTTAGCATATTGGAGATATATATTTTTTATTGAACATTTGAGTGATCTAGTTCACAATATGAGTTTTGTTAGAATATTGTATATAAAAAAATATATTGAAAATTTCTTTGAACCTATATATAGATTAGCAAAAAAGTATGATTTCTTTAAAACTTTCTGTTACACAACCAAAATATTGGTTTCACGAATATTATTTTTTGTCATTTGTTTTCAATTCATTAGACATCATTTTACACAATGTACGGTGTATTGGTTTAATTCATTTTTTTGATTTCCATCAAACAACCCAATCTCATATAATAATGATTTAATACTTTTGTGATTGAACACGTCACTTTGAGCGCTCAGCTTTATTGTTTATAATCAGTTAATAGTCAACGTAAAAATTTCGTTCTTCGAATGAAAAATTGTGCAACAAATGATCCTTCTGTTAAAGAATTTTGATGAGCTGTTTTTGCCTTTATCACTGAGTAATAATATATTACGTGCCAAGTAGGATAATAAGCCAATCACCCACGAGCGAAAAATTGTGAGCACAAGGCGATAGCCGAGTGCGATAATTGGCGACATAATTGACCTTATCCTCGAGGTGCATACTATACTTTTTCTACGACTTACCGTAGAAAGGAATGGTGCAATATGTTTGTTTGAGATGATGGCTTTGGATAATAAACTCATCCAGTCAGTCAGAACTGACATGCGTTACCGCTGAGCTACTCTGGCGATTACCAATGTGATGTCTGATGAGTAGAGTAAACATAAATGATATTCACTTTGTGAGTGAATAAATAAATTTGAAGAGTTTTCAAAAATATTATGTCAGATACTAGTGCGAATAGGTATTTTTGTCTGTAAAATATTTTCAAATCCTTTTCCTTGGCTGTTAAAGTTCATGAAATTAACGTAAGTAGGCTTTGCTTTATGTTGTCTTAGTACTTCAAAAATTGTTACAAAAAGTTTAAAAAAATGAATAGAAGGAAAAAGAAGTTGTGTTACTTTCGAAAAGAAATATTTGTCATCTGGAGCTTCCTTAATGAATTGATATATTTGTTCAGTGGTAAGCTTTGACGATTTCTTCGGTTTATAACTATTAGATTTGCGTTTCAGAGAGGCACGTAATTTGGATTATTTGTTGATTTCCACATTTTTTTTATTCAGGTTACTTCTCACCATGGGGTAAATCGCACATAATGACGATGGTTTCAAAGTTTTTGCTAAATCTTCCAAATAAACGGGAAGGACGTTTTCGGAAAAAGAAGTTATCTTTTTCTTCTCTCTTCGACTAACAACATTTTCGAAACATTTTCTTGTTGGTTTTGCTGTTAGCAAGTAATTCATGGCAATATTTACTTGCTCGGTAATATCTGGTGGGGTAGCACAAATTTCTTGATCGTTATCATTTTGAACTTTTACGAGATACTGAATGACGGCTTAATAGATAAAACAAGTGGTTGTTGATTCACGAATATAATTAGATTCATTACCAACCCACAAACTGTTGAACAATAAATTCACTGAAAATATGATTTTCATTTCGATTTTACAGATAATTTGGAGAAAAAATTAATGCCATTATCTACCTGCTGTCAAACACATAATGATTAGTTTAAGATGGAAGGAGTAGAAAAACTTGATTTTCGTTTGCCATTGTCTGTGAAATTTTAAGCAATTCTCATGAAAACCATTGTCGTACAAAAACTTTGAATATAAGGCATTCCACGCATTCAATTAGTACAGTAGCTGCTCACGCTTTATATATTATAATTGTTAACTCGAGTATAACTCAGATACCAGAAAATATAAAACTTGAGGAAGTGTATAGACTACTTATGATTGTCAATGATGAAACTGATAAAACTCAGGAGAAGCTCACTGAAATCAAAAAAGAATTATCTTTCGCTAATGAACGAATTTGTCGCTTTGAAACTGAAAACTCGCAATTAAAATATCAGGTCATTCAACTGGATAATAAACTGACAAGAAACAACCTAAATGTCTTTGGCCTTCAATCTGATAATATCTCTCAATCTCTGACAGAACTCAGCGAGCCTCTAGAAATCTCACTGAATTTCCAGGATATCAATATTATTTTTTATCTCCCCAACAAAAACAACAAAAAAATGTTGAGAGTAGAATTCTTGTCCTACTGGAAGGAACTTGAAGTATTGAAGAATTCTTATAAACTCGAAGAATCCGACATATTTATTGCCAACAACTTATCACCCGAGGACCAAGTTATACATGAATCTTAAGAAACCAAGTTATAGGACCAAGTTATACATGAATCTTAAGAAACTCAACCTGAGAGAACGAAAATAGTGAACATTCACAAACGTGTTTTAGGTAGCTAGATTTACTTGTTATTTCATTTCTTTTTTCTCCTTACATTTTTTACTGTTGGTTGAAATACTCATTGAATCATTACTTAGATGTCATTTTCATTTTTCCACATTAATAATCGATCCATCATGAAGGGGTTCATTGAATTCAAACAAAAGGTATGTAATATTTATGATAACATCACTATCTCAGAAACCTGGTTAAGTGACAGGATACGTGGCTAGTCGATTTTACTGCCCGTATATGTTCTCTTTCGAAAAGACCGTATAGGTCGTGGAGGAGGGGTTGCCATTTTCATTAAAAATACTCTTCGAGCTAGCCAGATTCTCAATTTACTTATAATAGAAACCGATCAGATATGGATATCCTTTCCCTTGGAGAAAAATAAATATGCTATCGGAGCCATGTACCGATCACCCAATGAACATACTTAGGCATTTTTGTCGGAATTTTAAGATGTCATGTCGTACATCTCTCCTAGTTTCAATTACACTGTATGTGCTGGAGATATAAATATAAAATTTCGTGGATGCCACGAACAAGCAACTCAGAGAATTCGAAAATATCGTCAACTCATATGCCTTACACCGGATCATAGACTAACCCACCCGTTACTCTTCTAACTCGGGTAAGCTACTGGATACCATTTTATGGTCTACAAATCTTCAATAGCGACTGTGCTGTTGTGGATTGTTCGAGTTTTTCTGACCACTGCCTATCGTCTTGTACCATTGGAAGTTCTTCTTCCGAGAGACAAAATTGTTTCCAGTACCCTTACAGGGATTCAAACACCTTGATATCGAATCATTTGGTGTCGATATGCAAACCTGTGAGTTCAGTAGTAATTATGAGGTAGATAATATTGACCATGAAGTCGAAAAATTCAACTCGTTGATATTAGACAACTTCAATGCCCATGCACCTATGAGAACTGTCCACATAACTAAGGAAAAATCAACTTGGCTGACCGATATTCTGAGGCTTTTGATGAAACTGAGAGACTAAACTCTGTTGATAATACAAAAAATGTGGGAATCTTCCAAAGAAAGGAAGGAAGTAATCAATTTTAAAATAAATAACTCTATACATGGATGTGTACATCATGCAAAGTAGTAACTTTCAGACACAGACTGAAAGAAAAAGTCCTCCTGAAACAGCTACTTTCATATAAACATTGAATTACACGAAAGAAAAATTATTTCTTCTTATTACATTGCAATCTCAAAAACTGATTTTTTTGTAGATACGGCATCTGTTCTTAGGACGGCAGTACCAGAGAGGATGATAGTGTTCCATGTAAGTGCAATTTTTTACCATTCATTTAATGTAGAATTTCTATCCATTTTACCTGATTTCATTCCATAACGAATGTTTGGAATATAAACTGAATAGAGAATAGTGTCTTCTGTATAATTCAGTGTTCATATGAAAGTATTTGTTTCGAAAACATTTTTCTTTCGTGTAATTCAATATTTTGAATTATTTTGCAAATATAAAACTTAAATGAAAAAATGATAAGTATTTTTGTGATACCTGATTCATCATCTAATGAATAAAAATGAATTGCTGTTCGTGTGACTCGCTAAAACTCGAGAACGGCTGAACCGATTTGGATCATTTTGGTTTTGAATTATTTGTGGGAGTCCAGGGATGGTTTCAAGAAGTGAGTAAATATGAGAAAAGAAAGAAAATAAAACAAAAGAAAGAAATAATAATGATTATAGAAGAACTCAATAACGGCTGGACCAATTTTTATGATTTTAGTCTTTTTGGATTTGTCTTTGCCGAGAATAGATAAAAATGATAATAATGATAATCATAATAATATAATAATGATAATAATAATACTGATAGAAGACCAGCTGAACTAATTT